GGTACCCAGGGAACGCGCACGGGCCGCGGCAGCCGCACCGGGCGGGACTGAGGCGGACGGGACGGGACGGCTGCAGCGTCCCTGCGACCGCCACGGAGCGCGGCAGGCGCCCGGTGATGACGCACAAACCCGGCAGCCGGAGCGGGGCGGGTTTTTCCCCAGTGCGCAGACGCGGCACGGACACGGCCGAGCGGGGACCGGAGCCAGAACGGGAGCGGGGCAGCGCCGGTGTCGGTCACGGGCACAGAGGGCGTTCCCCAGACCGCGCCTGCGCCGAGAGAAGCGCCGGGGAGGCGCGGTCGGGGCGGGGGCATCCGCACTCCCGTGAGGGCAGCGGCAGAGACCGGGCGCGGTCTGCGTGCCGCGGTCACGCAGCCAGCCCCGGCAGCCAGCGCACAGTTTCAGCCTCCATCAGAATCTCAAGCGGGAGATTTTTCGCGGCTGCAGCGCATGTTGTGTGAGGCGCACCGAACTCCTCAACAGCCCGGTCCCACAGGAGTGACGGAAACAGCATTTACCAGATGATCAGGCTTCAGATGCAAAAGATGGACATGTAAAAAAGCTGTCCAAAATCAGTGTAAAGTGAGAAAGCACACAGGCTTTTTCCCAAGATACAGAAAAAAGGGGAAACCAGTGCAAATCAGTGGTATTCCAAATATGAGGTAGATGGAAATCTTCTGTTGTGAAAAATGCCTCTCAGGGAGGTAAACCACCATAGAAAGATAGAAGTATTAGTAGTGATTCAATTACCTGAAATGTCTCTGAAGACAGAGTATTTGAGAAATATCAATCAGATCCTATCTGTGGGGTCACCAGCTGATTCTCCAATGATTCAGAATTTTGTTGGTATTGAGTTTGTAACCTTTGTTATTTTTGGATTTTATAGGTGATACTGATAAATAAGGATTGTTATTAATGCTATATGAATACTTTAGAAAAGTTGTCATAACCCCTTCAAACACTTCTTGTTGATAAGTTGATTATATAATGAGAATTCTCAGAATTTATGATAAGAATTATGATCAAGGTATTGTTGTAATATTTACAGCCAGCTTTCATGTGTTTCACTGTCTCTTTGAGTGATCATCTGCAAGACACGTATCTCTTCAGAATCTTGTCTTTTTGTTTGTTAACTACTCATGTTTTTTAGGTTTCTTTTAAATCCAGATTGCCAGTTTTGTGGTTTTCTTCAGTTATTATTTCTTCAGTTATTATACAGTACCTCAGCCGAGAATTCAAGAGGTTTGCTGTGTTTGAAGAATTTCTGTCCTGACGGAAGTTGCGGAGGGATTCAATTCTTTAATGGTTTGATTGATCTTTAATCCTAAGGTTTCCTATTCATAATTGCTGTTTTTAAGAGTCTTGTTTTAAAATATATTAAGTGATGTCCATCAATTAGAGTTTGAACTCTGGCCAAGGTCTAGCTCTTCTTGAATGGAATGTTTGACAATCAACCCAGATGTTTTCTGCATCAAAAAGTATTCAAGTCCTTTTGGCTTGGCTATTTGACCATGTATGATAGCTGAGCCTGATTTCAAAGGGAGTTTGAGAAACATGAATCCAGACATGAGTTCTCCAGTTCTCTGTTGTTTTAAGGTTCATCAGGTATCGCAGACTCTGGGATGACAGTTCAGTGTTGCAGTGATTGATAACTGTATGACTGCAGATGTGTTATTGGTTATGTGTATTATCTGATTGATTTCTAATTGCTGTTATCTTACATTTCCCTATGCAGTATTGCATAGAGACTGAAACAGAACAGACCAATGTTTTATTTTCATATATGCAAAAAGCCAATCATATAATGCACATTTTTCACAGTGGTGGTAGCACGTAGCTGCAACGCAGCTTTGTCTCCCCTTCCCAGGGAAGTCCTGCTCCATGACCTTTATCTGCCTCCCCAGCAGCTCAGTGGTAGGAAAAGCCACTTGAAGTGGCTGGTGGATTCTCCCTCGGTTTTTTGGCAGAGGCTTTGAGCCAGGAGGTTCTCTGGAGGGATGCTGGCTTTGGAAACCTCTCCTGAGCTTGCAGGTGTGGAGTAAAACTCCCTGCTGGACCAGTGAACAAGTTATCCTCTGATCCATCTGGGACCCCCATGGCTTGAGGTCAGCCCTTGCTGGGGAGCTGCTGCTTGGGAGAAATAGCCACTCCCTTTTCATAAGTTTAGAAAGGTTTATTAAACCTTATCAAAAATACAACAGAAGACTGAATAGAGAAAATGTTATGGCGCCAGGAGCAAAGGATTTTCCACACTATGTGCTCACCCACACAATGGAGGTTTTGCCTTTTAACCCTTTAGCCCCTCCCAAAATTCTGTCCATTGACCCCTTCTTCACTGTCCAGTGGTGGAGTTTACTTCCTCAAATCTTGATTGGAGGTCAGATGTCACCGTAGTAACAAGCTGACCCTCCCAAATATCCCAACCCTGGCTGTCCCTTGATACCAACTGTGGGGGTAAAAAAAATTTTTCTTAACCTCTGTACATGGTATTTGTCTGTTAATTGTGAGAGTCAATCATTGTGGCATTCACATTCTCTGAACAGAAACACATAATTCTCTCTCTCAAGGTTTTTTTTTTCCTGGAGAATCACAGAGAAAAGAAAGAAAACAATTCTTATCTCTATCATGTGGAATGTGTTAGGAAGATTCTTTACCTGAAATGATTTGTCAGTTGGATTCTGCTGAGGATTGTTTTGTTTCCTTGGCCAATTGGAAAAAGCTTTGTCTTGGCTGTCTGGAGACAGTCACAAGTTTTCTTTAGTATTCTTTAGTATTCTTTAGTATTCTTTGTAGTATGCATCTTTAATATAGTGTAGTACAATGTAATATAATATAGTTTAATAAAGCAACTGTTCAGCCTTGTGAATCAACGGAGTCAGCTGCCAATCGTTCTCTGTGTTGGGGCATCCTGCTTTTTGATAAATCATCACATTACTCATCTCTCACACTGCTGCTCCTCCCCAAGTGCTTTGCTCTCCTGCACTCACACTTCTCTCTGCCAATCTGTGGCTTATTAAACAGTCTGCTGGCTTTGTCTCTCCTGTGGCTGCAGGCAGCATCAATTCCTGTGGACACGGAGAGAGCTGTGGCTGGAAAAATTAATGGAGGGGAAAGAAACAGGGAAGGAGAAGGGCTCTGGTGAAGATCACACTGCCCTCCTGAGGCTCCTGGGGGAGAAGGCAAAGTTGCACCAAGACCCCATGCTGTTCTCTGATGACATTTTTTTCATTGAGCCAATGGTAAGTGATAGCTGAGACCTCATTTTCCTCCTCTTCTTCCTCCTCATCCTCCTCCCCCTCTTCCTCCTCCCATCCACTCTACCCCCAGCTGTGGTCACTGGGCAGATCCTCAGCTGGCTCGATGTGCTGGGAGGGAAGACATTGAGTTTCTGGTGCACCTGCAGAGCTCGCCTAAAAATGCCAAATGCTAAAAGCATTTCTGCCCTGGAGGCTCAAGGCAGGGCTGGGAGCCTGACAAGGCCAAGCTGTGCTGCCAGGGCCTGAGCTCAAGGGCACTCTGTGCGTGTCCTTGCAGTGTCCACAGGGAGCAGTTCTTGTAGGTAGGGGCTCCCCCCACACGTGAGGTTCAGCAGAGGCTGTTGGAGCACTGCCAGCTCACACACTGACCTGAAGCTTGCAATGTTTTGCTGGGAAAGTGAGGCCAAATTCAGCCTAAGGCTAATCATAGAAATGCCAATCCCCTCCTGTAACCACGCCTTGCACTATTTCTGAGTGTCCCTTCCAGTGTCCTCTGTGAGCCTGGACACAAGGGTGGAAGGTTGAAATGGGCCTTTGGAGTTGTCCTGCACACAGGGACAGAAAACCTTTTCCTTTTCTGTTTCTGCAAGCAAACCACCACGTCCTCATATCAACCAGAGCCCTGATTCTGAGTACTGGCATTGTGAGAGGCAATGAAGGCCTGGTGTCTGCACAGTGCAACATCCCTTCTCATCTTGGAGTAAACCCTAGAATAATGCCAGCCTCTGCCTTCTTTTAAAGCAGGTTAAACTAATATTTTTATTTCCAAGGTTCTGGTTCCAGGCAAATTTGGGAGAGAACCCCCAAAGGGGCTCCTCTAGGAAAGCAGATTCAATCGGCCCCTCCCCCAGCTGGTCCTGGAGAAAAGACCTCCTTGAAGGGGAAAAAACCTGTTTATTAAACAATAAACCCTAAACAGTATTAATCAATAAAACCCCTTGCTGCTCCAAAAGAGATGACAAACTCAGAAAGTCCCTCCCTGGGTTGCAGCTCAGCTCACTCAGTCTCTGATCAGTCCCTCTGGTCCTGGAAATGTCGCAGGCCAGGCCCGGCCCGGTGGCCGCAGCTGGAGCTGCCAATGCTCTTCTGGTGTTCAGTCCAGAGCAGTTTTGAACAGGTCCAAAGAAAAGGGAAAAAAACTCCACAGTCCAGGGAACTTCTTTGCCTCAGCAAGCTAAATTAACTAAAAGCAGAGGAGAGCTCTGTCCCGCTGTCTGTCCAGCCGCAGACAATGCAGTCCAGGAGCAGGAGTGTGGAGGAGTGAGTGCAGTGTCTGAAAACAAACTGCTGCTTTTTCTCTCCCCCCTTCACTCTCTGCAACAAGTCTTAAAGGTGCAACACTTATTATTCAGCATAAACAGAATAAGACGATTTGGGATAAAAGCAGCATATAGTCAACCCAGGACAGGGGTCATGTTCTCTTCTTGTGAAGAGCCACCAGTGCACAGTGGCAGTTGCATCCCACTGTAGCTGACAGCAGCATGATGTGACCAAGAGCCTTTGTCAGAGTAGCAGGAGTATTGTGGAGAGTGGGAGCTGAACAGCTGAGCATTGAGAGCTTCTAGTGCTGTGTTGAGCTGGGTTTTGAGTGTTTCCTTGGGCTTCTTGTGTTTTTCACTCATTACTAATGCTCTAAACAGAGGCTTACAGGTGTGGTTGAAAACAAGAAATGTGAAGTTTGAAGAGAAGTGTTTTGCTGTCTCTTTCTGCTGTAGGAGGGAGAAATCGGGCTGAATTGTTTGGCCAAAATCAAGATGACCTTCAAACCCCTGGAAGCACTGGAGAATGGCAGTGTGGCTTACTGCAGCATCTCAGGTACAGCTCCTTTGCCCTGCTTCTCTCCCCCTCAGTGAAGCCATGGTGCAAGCCTGAGCCCACTGGGCTCCCATGGAAGTGCTGGGAAGAGTCCCTGGTCAGCAGGGCAGTGCTGGCACTTCCCCCCTGGCCCTGCAGGTCCCAGGGAGTCTCCTGTGCCAGGCCAGGGCTCAGAATGCTGTGTGTGCCTGACTGATCCCAGAACAGCCCAGGCAGTGCAGGGAGAGGTTTTCATGCCATGGCTTTGCCAGCAATCCCTCAAAGGCCAGAGAGCTGCAGAGCAGAACAGCTTTAGTGAACGAGCACTCAGCCCCTGCAGGCCCCTGGCCTCCAGGATGATGCATCCATTTGACATGGATCCATCATCAGGCAGCAGGCACTGAGTTAGAAATGTGTTCCCTGAGCCTGGATCACCTCCCAGTGCCCAGACAGCAGCAGAGCAGAGGTGACTGAGCCCCCCTGAGCCCAGGGTGTTGGTAGAAGGAGCAGCCTTGGCCAGCACCTGCCTCTCTCTCTTTGTGGGAATTGAGCCCTTGCAGCTCTGTCTGTGGAAATAGAACACAGTGCTGAGTGTCAGGAGTTGGGGACTTTGGCAACAAAGTCCTGTGCTCCTGGGCCAGGTAGTTTGGGAATTGCCAAACTCAGAAGGAGCTTTGTGCCTTCACTGAATGATTTCAAAGCTCCACTAAGTGCATGGGAAGGACAGCATAGAACCAGAGTATGTTAAGGATGGAATGGACCTTAAAAGCCTCTGGGCAGGAACACCTCCCCCTAGAACAGGTAGCTCCATGCCCCATCCAGCCTTGCTTGGAACACTTTCAGGGCTGGAACCTCCACAACAGCCCTGGGGAACCTGCTCCAGTGTCTCACCACCCTCAGAGTAAAAAATTTCCTAATATCTAAGCTAAATTTCCTTTCTTTCAATTTAGACCTGTAACTCCTTGGCCTGTCACTACAAGGCAGCAGAGATGTTTTAAACTCAGCAGACTGGTGGCTGAAATTGGAAAGCAGCCCAAGGAATGGGTTAGTAATTAGAAGTCAACCCCAAGGCTGAGGGAAGAGGAGGGTCCATATCCTCTCCTGCAGCATCAGGAGCTGGTTGCATCCAGCTCAGAGTCAGGGACTAGCACTGAGGCAGCCTGGAAAATAGAGTATAACAGAGGGAATGATTGTACTGCAATGGACATCTCTCCCCAGGCTGTGAGAGCAGGCTGCCCCTGCACCTCTCAGGAGAAGGCCAAGGACCCTTGGAAGAATTCAGCTCTCCTACTCTGAACCTTGGGAACATTTCTATCAACGCCCCCACATCTATGAGGTGAGCAGCAGGGCTTGGGGTGGATCCTGATGGCTCCTGAGGCAGGAGCAAGCCTGGTGGAAGTGTGGAATTGCTGCCAACCTGGGCAGTTGTGAGCAGGGAATATTTGATCTACTGGTGAAATCTGGGAGGGTCTGAAAGGTGTGTCTGTTGTTCATGAAGCCCCAGTTCCTTCCTTGGGAATCAGCTGGGAGGCTTGCTGCAAAACAACCCCTTGACACATGAAACGAAGCCTGGGTCAAAAAGGGATGTTCAGAGGCTTTTGTGGCAGTGCCAGACACAAGGCACCTTTGGACTGGGCTGTTCAGAAGCAGCTGGAAGAAACTGGCTGCCTTTGAGCTTCAGTCCACTGCAGACAGCTTCCAGTCAAGTGTCTCCTGCTTATTGCTGCAAGTCACAGGAAAGCCATCCAGCCTCCTGGCTCAGTGCTGGCCCTTGCACAGGGCTTGGGAGTTCTTTCCCTTGCTGACCAGTCCCTCACCACACTTCAGCCTTGGTGCATCTCTGGCTCTAGAAAGAGAAAAGTGTTCCTGAGAATAAAGCAAAGCATTTTTCTACCTATTTGCCTCCTCCTCAATAGTGTCAAGTTTGCAAAAAAAACCAAAGAGGGAGCAGCTGAAAGAGGTAGAAAATGAGGCACTACATCATGCCAGACACTTCCAAAAGCTTGGCTGTGGGATGCAAAGACATGCTGAGTTTTCTTACCAAAAGATGATGCTGTCTATACATTTTGATGCTGATGCCTCATAATCAATGTATTGTTTTCATGACATGGGAAAAGGTGAATGAGTAGATGGTGCTGTTGGAGCTGTGCTCAGTGGGGCAGCAGCAGCTCTGGGGTGATTCCCTACGCAGCTGCAATCAGCCCACGTTGCTCTCAGGGCCAGGTCTGAACGAACTTGGTGGTGCTGAGCAGAGGTGCACTGCTCTGTGTCCATGGGATAACCCCAGGGTTGTGGACTCCAGTTCTGTGGAGTTGCCACTGCTTTGCATGAAAACCCAAGGGCAGAACTTGTCCTGTTGTATTTTTTTGCCATTCATAGCATCGTCTGCTATTTCTGGGCATTAATTGTGTCATTAGACAATAACTCACAAGAAGGGAAGATTCCACATATATTTCCATTTTGCTTTCTTGCTGCTGCAGGTGGAACTGATAAACCTAGGAGCTATTGATGCTCCCTTCACCTATAGCCCTTCAACTGCAAACGTGGGCTTCTGCTTCAAGTTTGCGCCTGAGGAGGGCATCATTGCACCAGGTGGGACCCAGACTGCTCAGATCTCCTTCAGTGCCACCATAGTGGGGAGGTTTGAGGAAGAATTCCAGTTCAGTGTGGCTGGATCTCCTATATCTGCACTCCTGACTATCAAGTAAGGACGGTCAAAGCCAGGCACGCGCCCGCACGTCCTCAGCACAAGAGAAAGGGGCGCCCCATGTGAGCGGTCCCAGCCCCTCCACAGGTGTGGGATTGGTGCCGAAAGCCAGACAACTCTTAGTGGTGGATCACTCGGCTCGTGCATTAATGAAGAATGCAGCTAGCTGCAAGAATTAATGTGAATTGCAGGACACATTGGTCATCCACACTTTAAACACACTTGCGGCCCCATGTTCCTCCCAGGGCTACGCCCGTCTGAGTGTTGCTTGACGATCAGTCGCCGTCCAGCGACCACCACGGTGGTTCAGCTGGGGTTGCCTCACAGGCCAGTTGACTGTGGTCAGCAGCGGTGGTGATGGTGGCTCACCGGTGCCCGGAGGGAAAGGCGGTCAGGGGTTTGGCAAGGGATGCGTTTCCCTCGGCGGCCTCAATTTTTTCCCTGTGACCCAGCAGGCATCATCATCGTCATGGCCGTCATCGTCATTGTTGCCGTGCAGGGCTTTCATCCCCCTATATGCAGGCTCAGGGACTGCTCCGTAGTTCCCCACTCCGGGAGTGAGCCACTGGGGCAGAGTTTGTCCTTGCAGGGCCCGTACCGCGGTACGGTGGTGGTGGCAGCTGAGGAGAGTAAGAGACAGCATTGAAAGCACCGCCGTGGGCCAAGAGAAGGGAGAGGGCAAGAGGGAGATGAGGCGCAAGCCTCGCCCCCAGCCTCCGCCCCACGTGGGCGGCTGTCTGCAGGTGGATACTGCGGGGGTACTGTGCCACTGCATGTGCGCGTGAGGCGAGAGCGCTGGGGACAGATGTTCCGACCCCCTCCTCCTTTCGCCTGCCCTCCTCCTCTTCTGTCGTGGTCTCAGGGCGCAAATAGCACCATGGCTTTTCTCTCTCTCTCCACCAAGGCCATCACGTGCCGCCTGGTCCCCCATCAGGGCTGTCTCTGCCACACTCCCTTTTCGGTTCTCATCTCCGGGATGGGGCACTCTGTCTCCGCTTCTCTCCCTCTGGCTTTATTTTCCCCTGGCGCGTGGGTGCCAGTGGGGAGGAAGGTGAGGGTAATAGGTGGGAGAAGCTGGCTGGCTGTTGGCCTGTTGGCATGCTGCTTCTTTAGGAGCTGCATGGGCCAGGAGGTGCGGCCAAGCTTTGGCCTTGCGACCTCAGATCAGACGTGGCAACTCGCTGAATTTAAGCATATTAGTCAGCCAAGGAAAAGAAACTAACGAGGATTCCCTCAGTAATGGTGAGTGAAGCGGGAAAAGCCCAGCGCCGAATCCCTGCCCCGCAGTGGGGTGCGGGACATGTGACATACGGAAGTCCCAATCCCTGGCGGCGCTCTCGGGGGACCCAAGTCCTTGTGATCGAGGCCGCAGTCCGTGGACGGTGTGAGGCCGGTAGCGGCCCCTGGCACGCTGGGCCCGGGCCTTCTCGGAGTTGGGTTGCTTTGGAGTGCAGCCCAAAGCGGGTGGTAAACTCCATCTAAGGCTAAATACTGGCATGAGACCAATAGCCAACAAGTACCGTAAGGGAAAGTTGAAAAGAACTTTGAAGAGAGAGTTCAAGAGGACGTGAAGCCATTAAGAGGTAAACGGGTGGGGCCCATGCAGTCCGCCCAGAGGATTCAACCTGGTGAGTTGTGGTCGGCACAGGTTCAGCGGAACCTCGCCTCTGCCTCCCTTCCGTCCCCTGGGCGAACCCCATCCACGGAGGCAGGCTGGGGGGTGCAGGCCGGTGCGGGGACTGCCGCCCAGCCGGCAGCTGGCCCTGTCCGGGCACATTTCCTCTGTGATGGTGCGCCACGACCGGCTCCAGGTCGACTGGGAAGGCCTCCGACGGGCAGGTGGTCCGACGGGCAGGTGGTCCAGTGCCGCGCGAGCAGCGGTGGGTGTTACAGCCCTCGGGCAGCAGGTCTCGCCGAATCCCAGGGCCGAGGAAAAGGACTGCCGCTGCGCCCTCCTCCCCCCACATCAGCAGCGCCGTGGTGGGGGGCATCGTTTCCCCGCCTCTCACGGGGGGGGGGGGGGGGGGTGGCATCCTCGCAGCACGGCGTTTCGCGCAGGGGTGTGGGGGCTGGGCCTGCCAGTCTCTGGCGCTGCTGTCAACTGGCCTGGACTGTCCTCAGTGCGCTTTGACCGCGCGGCACCACCAGGCTAGGCTCACGGGCCGCGCTGGGGTGCCCGGGATCCACAGCGATTTTGGCTACCCACTCGACCCATCTTGAAACACGGACCAAGGAGTCTAGCACGTGCACGAGTCAGGGACCGTTGTCGAAAGACCGCAGCGCAATGAAGGTGAGGGCCGGCGCGCGCCGGCTGAGGTGGGATCCCGGGGCACGTGTTGCCCCTGGCAGCCCCGGGCGCACCACCGGACCGTCTTGCCCGCCGCCTCCTCGCGGGGCCGGGGAGGTGGAGCGTGAGCGTCCATGCTAGGATCCGAAAGATGGTGAACTATGCCTGGGCAGGGCAAAGCCAGAGGAAACTCTGGTTGAGGTCCGTAGCAGTCCTGACATGCAAATCGGTCGTCCGACCCGGGTCTAGGGGCAAAAGACTAATCAAGCCATCTAGTAGCTGGTTCCCTCCGAAGTTTCCCTCATGATAGCTGGCACTCGGCAATGGGCAGTTTTACCCAGTAAAGCAAATGATTAGAGGTCTTGGGGCCAAAACGATCTCAACCTATTCTCAAACCTTCAATGGGTAAGGGGGCCGGCTCGCTGGCGTGGAGCCGCGCCGTGGAATGTGAGTGCTCAGTGGGCCCCTTCTGGTAAGCAGAACTGGTGCTGCGGGATGAACCAAACACTGGGTTAAGGCGCCCGATGCCGACGCTCATCAGAGCCCAGAAAAGGTGTTGGTTGATCTAGACAGCAGAACGGTGGCCATGGAAGTCGGAATCCGCTAAGGAGCGTGTAACAACTCACCTGCTGAATGAACTAGCCCTGAAAATGGATGGCGCTGGAGCATTGGGCCCATACTCAGCCGTCGCTGGCAATGCGAGGCCTGCGGGGGCTAGGCCGTGATGAGTAGGAGGGCCACTGCGGTGCACCTCGAAGCCAGGGGCGTGGGCCCAGGTGGAGCTGCTGCAGGTGCAGATCTTAGTGGTAGTAGCAAATATTCAAATGAGAGCTTTAAAGGCCGAAGTGGAGCAGGGTTCCATGTGAACAGCAGTTGAACATGGGTCAGTCGGTCCTAAGCGATAGGTGAGCGCCATTCCGAAAGGGCAGGCGATGGCCTTTGTTGCCCTCAGCCAATCGAAAGGGAGTCGGGTTCAGATCCCCGAATCCAGAGTGGCGGAGACGGGCGCCGCAAGGCACTCAGTGCGGTGACGCAACCGATCCCAGAGAAGCTGGTGGGAGCCTCGAGGAGAGTTCTCTTTTCTTTGTGAAGGGCCGGGCGCCTTGGAATGGATTTGTCCCGAGAGAGGGGCCCTCACCTTGGAAAGCGTCGCGGTTCCAGCGGCGTCCGGTGAGCTCTCGCTGGCCCGTGAAAATCCGGGGGAGAGGGTGTAAGTCTCACGCCGGGCCGTACCCATATCCGCAGCAGGTCTCCAAGGTGAACAGCCTCTGGCATGTTGGAACAATGTAGGTAAGGGAAGTCGGCAAGCCGGATCCGTAACTTTGGGATAAGGATTGGCTCTAAGGGCTGGGTTGGTTGGGCTGGGGCGCGAAGTGGGGCTGGGCACGTGCCACAGCTGGATGAGGTGCCGCACATGGGTGAGCGCGCTCCACGTGGCCCGCCCGGGCGCTGGGGCGTGCACGTGCACAGTGGCGACTCTGGACACACGCCGGGCCCTTCCTGTGGATTGCCCCGGCTGTGGCAGGCGCCACCTTCCCCCCGCTCCGCCCGCCCTCCGCCTTGCCGCGGCCGGCGCCCCAGCGGCGGCCGTCATCATTGCTCACTGCCGCCCCAGTGGTTCCCGCAGGTGGGGTTCCCGCGGTGTGTGGCCAGCACGCGTGCAGCCGCAGCCGGCGTTGGCTCAGCAGTTTGTGTGGGGGAGGGTCCCCGGGCCAGCGCCCCGCCTCAGTCGGTGCCTAGCAGCTGGCTTTGAACTGGTGCGGACCAGGGGAATCCGACTGCTTAATTAAAACAAAGCATTGTGAAGGCCTGAGGCGGGTGTTGACGCAATGTGATTTCTGCCCAGTGCTCTGAATGTCAAAGTGAAGAAATTCAATGAAGCGCGGGTAAACAGCGGGAGTAACTATATTTACTAACTGGGCATAGCCGCGGAAGTTGCACCTCCTCGTGGCCCTGCCAGATACCCTTGTGGTAACTGAGTCAACTTCTGCCCCAGTGTGGGAGAGGGCGCATATCAGCCCTCCCTATCGTTGGACTCACCACCCAACAATAGTTTCACGAATCGCTGAAACAAAAAGGTTGGCACAGTTAGTTCGCTGTTGCACAGAGCCTTGTCCATGGGCTGTTGTTGACACAGTTGGTAGTTTGAGAGAGGGTTGGCTACTATATGCTTCTACCCTCACTTGGACTTGTCACTTTATTGCTTACCGGACTGACAAAATGGCTTTGCATTATATCTCGACTACCACTCAGACTGACCCATTACATCTAAGGGTCATTGATGCCAAATTACCATCTATGCCCTCTGTGCCCAGGGAAGAGGGATTCGATCTTGCAAGTTTGGTGTTTTTTAACTCCAAAATTGTTAAAGAAAATGGTGTACGTCATGTGGATGTTTGGTAGGGTTTGGGGCAACTCCCTGAGCCCTATAAGATCTCCCCTATGGGGATAGCCCAGGATGAGGCTGAGAGTGCGGTGGGAGGTACCAAAGAGCCCAAAACACCCGAGGCTCCTCACGGGTCTGAAGGTGATGGTACAACGCCAAGAACACCTGTCGTGTCCATGCCTGACAAACAACCATCTTGTCCTCGTTGTGGGACCCGGTTTACTAGGATGTTTGGGCTGATTGACCATCTCAAAAGGACACACGGGCAGAGAAAGATCATTTTCAGGTGTTCAAAATGTGGTAAACAAAATCTAAAATACCACAGTATCTCCTGTCACATCCCGCGCTGCAAGGGGGTGGTGTGTGTGGCTCCCACTGGGGAATGGGT